AAAATCCTTCTAAACGCCAAAAGATCGAACCGATGGATTCAGAATCTTCCTCAAATACTTTACTTGAAACAGATTTACTTCAGCAAGTGCGAAGACGTACCTTTTCTCATTGGCCACATCGTACCATTCCATCAAGTTCACAAATGATACAAGCTGGATTTTTTAATTGCAATGTTGGTGATCGAGTGATATGCATTTATTGTAATCTTATTTGTCAACAATGGACACCACATACAGATGATCCATGTGAAGTACATAAAACACTTTCACCTAAATGTCCATACGTCAAAGCAAAATCGATGCGTCCTGCTGCTTCATCTATAGTTATTGTGAATGAAGTTTCAACAAGTGCCATTTCTGGTAGTCGTTCACCAACAGCCAGTAATCTCGGTCCATTAAGATCTAATGATATTGTATTTACAGCTTCATGTAATCCAGCTTATTCAGAAATACCAAAACGTCATGCATCGTTTGCAACCTGGCCAAATGAAGATTTACCACCAGTAGATGATTTAGTTCGAGCAGGATTTTTCTATACTGGTACAAAAACTATTGTTACCTGTTTTTATTGTAATGGATCATTACAAGATCTGGGTCCATATGATAATCCAATGATTGAACATGCACGTTGGTTTCCACATTGTGCATATGCTCGACAGTTATGTGGTGATGATTTATATCGTAAAATTCAAGAATCTAAACGAGCACAACAAGGTATGTTTGAAAAATTATTAATTTTTAAGACAAAAATTTAATATTTTTCGTTTTCTAGAACGTGCTAGAGCTAATGAAGTAAAAGAAAGAGCAGGTTCCAGTGATCCAGTGAATATTAATCTAAATACAAATAGTCGGCAATTATTGATACCTGATGAAAGTACTTTATCGAGACTTGTTGCTGCTCGATTAGATTTACCTATATCACAACGTTTATTAGATCAAAATTTCAAATTATCTATTATTAAACGATGTTGGGAAGATCAATTAAGAATAAAACGTGAGATAATCAATAAAATAATGTTATTTATATTCTTTTGAACATTTCGTTTTTAGGCGACGATTTTGTATCTGAATGTGATTTGTTCATAGCTTGTTTAATTCTTCAAAAACAAATTGAACATATTGACGGTAAAAAAGAAAATATCGTCATACCAAGCATCAAAATGAAACAAATCAGAGAACAAAATGGTAATTTTGATACAAGAATGTTCTTAATTATAATTTTTGTTTATTTTTTAATAGCACGAATGCAAGAACAAACAACATTAACAACATCTAATGCAGCTCAATCAGTAGCAAATCCTACAGATCTTGAAATGACTACATCATCTCAATCATTAACAAATGAATCAACATCTTCTCAATCGTCGATTGATTCAACATCAAGATTAACAACTAGTGGTAATGAATATGAAACAAAAACAATTAAGCAAACAAGTACTGCTAATGAACGAAATCAATCAACTAATGCAACACCATCTAATCCATGCGTTCTCTGTTTGACGGAAGAAAAACAATTAGCTTGCATACCATGCGGACGTATGGCAACATGTGTCGCATGTGGCCGTTCATTACGATCGTGTCCAATATGTCGAGGAGAGATTAAAGTATTCATTCGAATCTACACCTGAAACCAAGAGATTCGCATTTTATCCATTATTTTTGTAAGGACGCAAAAATATCAAACATACAAGATATCAAAATCATTTCTTTTATAATAGTAACGATAATCAATATGAAATTTTTATATTTTTAATAAAATTTATTTTGTTAAACTCTGGTTTTGTGATTGTTCATAAACCTAATAACCACTGGTTAATGATAAAACTAAATCTCGACAAAATGATTTCTGCATTAATGACATTGTTGACAAACATTCGAACTGAACTAATAATCACATATTTTTCGTGTAAATATTTTTATTTTAGAACTTTCTTCTATTCTGGCAATAAACATTTACCAGCATATGTTTTATTTGTCTGTGAAAAATCTATATGAATATCAAATTCATTTCTAACGATTGAAAATTAGAAGTTGATAGTGTGTAAAAGAGATTCTAAATATTTTTGTTGTAGGAATTTTCTTGATTA